TTCCGGGGGAAGTTCATTTCAACACCTTCTGGAACTAAACAGCCTTCACCGGGCAAATTCCCTGTGGTCTTGCGAAGCAGCCGAGTTTCAAGACCTCCAGATAGACTTAATCTGTAGACTGTTTACTAATAGTACAGTATGTTATGTTTAAGATTGTATGGGATCTGTTTTTAGGTTTATTATTTACACACTATTGAATCATATGTAAAAAAGCGGAGATGTTATGGAGTTACTATACAAGTACTGTGCTTTTAACTACCAATGGCAATATTGCATTGCTCTTATACTTCCTGTTCCTGTTCTTACCTTTGACCAGGATGTAATAATACAGTGCTTCATGACTCCTCGAACTAACAGCTTGCAGTGTCATCCATTCTGTACATGAAACAGAGCTCCTTAGATAAAAGCTATAATATGAAAAAACTGAATACTGAATTTGAACTGAAGTATGGTGGCTAGGCAAATTTAGTTTTTAAGTGGCAAATTATGGTCCTACTTCTTTCTTGTTTACTGTCTGAACTAGGAGAAGATTCAGTGGGAGAGGATTCATCAGAAAGCTAAAGAAATTAAACTAAGAAATTAAGAAAAGCAGCTTTTCCTCTCAAAATCCTTAAAATCCTGTACTAGAGTAGACTAATGGATCTGGGATGTACTTCTCCTCTTTAAGATCAGAGGAATAAAAAAGATGAGTACTTCCTAGATATAATTTAAGACATAATTTGGAATAAGTATAGTTCAAATTGTGTGATTATGCTGATTTTACCTGCCTTGATAGGTGCAGAGTTGATAGCATGACATGAAGATTTCAGTGTAGATTAGCTTCTCAGAATTGTTCAAAAATTCTGCCCTGATACCATTCAAAAGTCAAACTTTGTTGAAACCTGCATGTTGTGCTCCCATTCACATGCAGCATATCTATTCCACATGCCTTCTGTCAATGAGCAGAGGACTCAGAATTTCTACTTAGGATTTTCTGGTATAAAGACTGTATAGAATATATCACTGAAGTGTAAAAGTAATTAATTTTTTGTGGGGAGGTACATTCAGGAGAAGCTCCCTTGTGTGCCATTATTCTTTTTAGGAAGGAGAGAGGTACAAATTAAATTATGCATGGGAACATACTGTTTAAACAAGATGGATGGTAGAAAAAGTACTGCAAAGCAAGTTTGCCCAAGTGTTAATCCTGCCTTGAGATCAGCATCAGAGAGTTGTGTCCATATGTTATTCTAACAGAAATCCCATTCATTTCAATGGCTCTACCTAAGTAGGACTGACCTTGGATATGATCCATAATATTCTCTCTAAAACAGAAGTGGGAAAGTTGTGGTTCTCCAGATCTATCACTATTCACTATGTTTGCTAAGGCTGATGGGGGTTGCAGGTAAAAACATCTAGAGAGACGCAGATTACGCACCCCAGTCTAAAACTTAGTGCATCTAATTTGACTAAGGTTGCATATTACCAGGCTGAGAGCATCTTGGCCATACCAGCTGGGAAGACAGGTATAAATTCTAGGACAGGCATTCCAGTTATCTGTGGTAAGATTTTTATCTATCTAGGTTATCCAGTATACTCTACCCAATCCAATTTACAAACATGCCTATTAGTTCTGCCCACACACTGAGCATGTGTTACTTGTATTATTCATGGTTCCTAATGAGAAGCTTTCTCAAGATAGTTTTTATTTTTTAAAAGGAAGTCAGTACCATAAAATATTACATGTATCTTTTTATCCAAATGTGTTAAATCAGATGGCAGTGGCATATCTAGCAGACCGATTGTTACTATATTTTATATTAAACCATTTATGGAGAGCTATTTTAATGCTTGTAATGCTGTACCTCTATTTTTGTTCAAGTTGTTCTCATATATACTTATTTAATAATATCGGCACCCTCTATATGTTTAGATGAAAAATTGTTAAAATGATATTGTGAAATGCTGTGTCTTTTACCCTCCATGAGATTTTTTTTTTTAAAAAAACCACTGCCCACAGCTTCATTTCCTTTTTTAAAAAAGACATAATCACAATCAGATGACGTATGATAGTATGCATAAGCTGTTCAAACCAATAGAATTTAAGACTGCAATCCTTGATCTGCATACTCACAAGTCTCAATGAGACTTACTGGATAGACTCTCTTTGAATCACTATTGTCCTCTGGAAGATTGTTAAGTCTTAGCTTCTCCTGCTGTAAATATAAGTATCACACTAAAGAAGAACAAGCAATGTCATAACAGATTGGTTGGTCTAATAAGACAGACTTATGTTTTAACTGAATTTATTTTTGTACTTTAACTGTGTTTTTATGCTGTTATAACTATTTTTTACTGTAGTTTATTATGCTTAGACATTTTGATGGAAAGGTGAGATATGCAGTGTATAAATAAATTATATAATTTATTCTCCTTTTTTGTAAGGACAAACTTACTCTATTTTGGCCACTGGGCCCAATTTGGAAATAGCACAGAATCTGCTTGGGGATCTTTACGTCTCTTGACTGCCTTCTTTCCTACTATGGTACTATACTTGCAATTTTACTGCAGAGTTACATCATAGCTAACACCACAACTTAAAAAATAACCTCATACTACATTTTCCCATAAGATTGTGCAATGATAAAATTATTTGCTAGAAGCATTCCCATCACTTCAAACATCAAGGTTTGAGAAGAGAAGCAAAAACTTAAATCACTATCACTCATTGATTATATTCTTCCTCAGTGCCAGTTAAAAGCTCTGTGAAGGGAGCAGGTGATTCACCCAAACACTCTGCAAAGCAGGTGGGGATCACAAAGAGTCAGTAGACTGACACCACCCTGGTTCATCCAAACCAGCCTGAGATCCTCAGATCTCCCAAATATACTTGTGGCAACTTAATCAGAGTCAAACCTAGACCTCCAAGCAAAATAACAAAGCATGAGCTAAACTTACTTTCTACATTATTAAAGTAAGGGTCTTCTACAGGACAGAGCAACAGCCAGGGCATAAGGACATACTTATATTAAATATAAGATATTAAAACAACCCAGCCACCCTCAATCACCCATTTTGTTTGCCTGCCCTTAGCAACTTTGGACAAATCTTCACTCAATCCCAGCCTAATTCCAATGTTGTTCTCCAGCTCCAGAGAGAGGGCTGCTTTCTCACAGGAACCCAGGTGTAGTCATGTCCTCCTTGCATATCATGTACCTAACAAGACTGTCCTAGATATAATTTAGACAGAGTGGTTCATTTAAATCTGGAAGTGGATGCTTCCAATCTTTTTTTCCCGGCAGTTACTAGAGGACAAGAGAATGTGTAGGAAAGATCAGGTTCAAGGCTTGAGTGGACTCGTGTGTGCTGAGGGTTTCAACCAAACCAAGCTTCTGTGTTTGCATGTGTGTGGGAGGCACATCCCACTGTCTCTGCATGGCAGGATATTACCTTGGTCTTTGTTCCCTCTGGCAGAAGCTATGAAAGATCTTCCTTGTGTTAAATACTACCCACCATTTTACCTGGTTGTAGGTAATAAAATGCAACTTGATTTACAGAATTCTACAAAATGCTGCTCTGTAAAGCATTTAAAATGCATTACTGCTTTACAAATGGCTTCTAGTGCTGAAGACTTAAGGGCACAATCCCTTATGCATATCCTGATCAAAGTCCTATAGCTTCCCATTCTGTGAGAGGGTTTTTTCCCCTTCTAAACAGGCATGGGATAGAATCCTAATTTATCTTACTTGTCCTATTTGATGTGTATTAAACAGTGCATTTAGGATGCATGTTCATGTGTGTAGAAGTTGGGTTTCTGTAGCACCTTCTGCACATGGAAAGAGGTTATAGGGAACCATACTCTGGAAAAACTGTTAAAATATATATAATAGCTTTTTATGTGGATTAAGTCAGAAACAATCTGCACATGAACTTTTCACCTAGACAATACTTGTAAGAGCCTATGGAGTGTGAGGTACATTCCTGTCATTACCTCATGAGGAATTCTAACCACCATTAGTGATTCAGTGGTGGATCAGGACCCACATGTGATTCTTCCATAGGAAGAGAAATCCAGATTGTGCAACCTTCACAACCATGGAAAGACTTGTAGCTATCTATACTGAGGAATGAATGAAAACATCTCCCATAAATGCAACAATCAGAAGAGCCAGCAGACCTGATCTCCTCTCCCTCTGCACATTCAGTCTATGCATGATTTCAAAGGTGTGAAAAGGCCTTTTCAGTCATTTGAGGCAGAAAACAAACAAAACAAATATATTTAAGAGAGCAGGAAAGCAACAGGAAAGTGAGATCCAACTTCCAGTAACAGTGTCCACACACTAGCTGTGTTTATACAACAATTTTGATTTGACCCAAGGAATACTTTTTTTAAATTACTGAATTAGCCAGTTTTTTAAAGAAATGAAATGCATTTTAGAATTACCAAATTATAGGAACAGAGACACCTTTTCTGTCGATTGACTGAGTTGCTAGGCAACACAGGAAAGCATGTGCTCTTTTCTCTAACTGTCTGAGATCTTGTATAAAACGTTGGTCTGGGTCCAAAGCAAAAATACTTAAAAAAAAGGAATATGTATTTCCCATGTTAGCTGACAATACTTGAAGTGAAACAATTGGACAGAAACCAAAAATTATGTATTATCTTTGATCTGTTTTCTTACTTTAATAGGTTGCTCACTCCTGTGTGTTTGGAAACAGACATTGGCTTTTCACTGGAAATACTTTTAAATATTGGAAGTGTGCCCATACAGTATTTCACTAAGAAAATTTGGACAGTTGTTGCTTTTCCCTTTTTCTTTTGGCTTATTTGCTCAAAGTTGTGCAACATCCTGCTACCACTGTGAACAAGAAATGTGCTGAGTAATGCCAGATCTCATTCTAATGGCTGATGCAAACCTGGAGAATTTGCATCATCATTCAGCAAGAGTAAGTTAGTATGACAGGAGAGCTTAAATACAAGACTATGCGGAAGCTGAGCTGGCTTCTAATGATAGAACAGCACCAAGGTAGCTGTGTGAAAGGGCAGATGTTCTTGAAAGGCATTTAGATAGCAGTGAAAAGTAAGAAACACCTGAAGGGTTTTCTACCTGTTGGCACAAGTGGGTTGAAAGGCTACAGACTCTCTCTCTCTGTGTAAAAGCAGTTCGCCAGACAAAAGCAGAGGGAGAGCAAGGAAAGGAAAGGAAAGGAAAGGAAAGGAAAGGAAAGGAAAATCTGGAGTGCCTGTTGAAGAGTTTTAAAAACAATTTGCTTTGGTGTGTGGGCAGTGTTAAAGCATGTTTAGAAAGCCTCCTGCATCAGCAATCTCTAATGGCAGCTACCTGCAGGGGCAATCTAATGGCAAGTTATCTGCTGTGCGTGACACTAAGGCAGCCCAAGAGGACAAAGTGGTGCTGAAGAAGAAAGTAACTCTACTAAGAGGCATATCCATTATAATTGGCACTATCATTGGAGCAGGAATCTTCATCTCTCCCAAAGGGATCCTTCAACACACAGGCAGTGTGGGGATGTCCTTGACTGTCTGGACTGTTTGTGGCATCCTTTCGCTTTTTGGTAAGTTTGTGAAAGTTCGTAATTGATCCTTGGGGTTTTCTGGCAGTTTCGTAAATGCTGTAGATCAAAAGTCTGGTTTGAGACCCAGAACTAATACTGGGTCAGTATTTGTATTGGGTGGGAATTTTGCTGCTTGGCAGGCACTCACATAGCCACAGAAAGCTCTGTTGAACAGTGTTTGAAGGACTTTCAAGACCAAATGATATGCCTGATGACTCCCTGAAGTCACGGGAGAGAGGAGTTTCCTTCATCACATTATAAACTTTGCTGTTTGTATCAGCTTTCTGCTTGAGTTCTAAGAAAGATTTACAGCGTGCTTTCACAGAGGCTTGGCAGCTGGGGAAATGAGCTACTCCATATGAAGCACATCTGTGAAACATATGACTAGTTGCACATTGGTTAGATACCATGTCTGATGGAGTAAACTTCTGCTGAACGATTTGCTAGCGAGCAAGATAGTGCTGGGGGAGACACACATTGATTTTTAAAAGACAAATGTCGGAGGCTTGGTTCTGCTTTGAATTTGTATATGAAGACCCTCATCTTTAAGCCCAAATGAAGCAAGACATCTTGCTTGTGGTTAGAACAATTCTTATCTTGGTTGCTGCATCTATATTTCTCGTACTGATATTAAAAGGTAGTTTCAGGCTTCTCAAATTAAGTCTAAAGCAGCAAACCTAAACTCACTTACCTGGGAGAAAATCCCATTGAACTGTGTATTCAATTCTTAGTGGACATGTAAAAAGTTGCTTCATTGGGACCTGTGTTAATAGTTGGGCTGACTTTTTCAATTTACAAAATTGTGTGTGTGTATTCCAACTTTTTGCAAATGTTTACTATATAAGAACACACAGAATTACACTGGCTGAGCAGTTCGCCCTGCCACCTTAAGTTTATGAAACAATGAGTTCCTTGATGGTTATAATACGTTAATCTCAAAGAAGCTGAAACACCCTCATGACTATAAGCATTACTGTCAGCTCAGATTACTTATTATTTTGTATTAGCAACCATTGGTAAATCTCTACTCAAGAAGTGGAATGCCACTGTGTATCGACCTATTATGCACAGGTTGATCAGAGACAAGTCTTCATCAAAGTAAAAAATGAATTTAGTCTCCTAAACTCTGTAATGCATAAATCTGTATTAAAATATTATTAAAAAGTTAAATATTCCTAAAAAGTTTTGGCCAGTAAAGCTGTTCTCTGGTCAGTGTTGAGTATAATTTGATTGCTACTGCCTTTCAATAGTTCCAGTTTTCTTTTTCATGGATTTTACAAGAAGAGATCCACTTATAATAATCTTAAATTTAACAGCCACAATAGCCTTGAAACTCTTAAATGCATTTCTATGTAATTCCTTTTGGAGATGTTAATTTAAGGGGAACTTTCAAATAGCATTGGATTTTATTCTTAGAAAATGGGTGTGTGGTGTGTGCGTTTTACATGTCTCAGTTAACGGAATAGCTTTATAGAGCTGTTGTGGTGGTTAGAGTGTTGGATTGGGATTCTGGGATATCCGGGTTCTAGTCCCAACTTGGCCATGAAACTCACTGGGTAACTTTGGGTCTGTCACTCAGTCTAACCTGCCTCACAGGGGTGTCACTGTAAGGATAAAAATAGAGCTATGCAAGCCACCTTGGGTTCCTCACAGAAGGAAAAAAAGCAGATTATAAATGTGATTAATAATATCAATAATATACAATGATAGGGCTAAGTGCTGTAGCAAGTGAGCTGGAAAGAAATTCAAGCGGAGGTAGAAGTGACTTGATCAGACCTATTTAAAGACTCTTAGGTATGATGGTTTAATAGGTTAGTTACAATTTTAAAAAGAGAGGAAGACTGAGATGTGCACATTTCACCAGAGAATATCTGGTGAAATCCTGCAATAATGTGCAAAATTGTTCATTAGTGCTATAGAAGTCCACAGTGAAATGAAAGAGAGTTTCCTATGACAGAGTTCATTTCCTTGGAAATTTCCATTATTTAAAATAGAAAGGCAGCCAAATTAAGATCACTGCTCAGGACAGTTTTTGAAATCACGATTGTTTCCTTGTTTCAACATAGTTTGAATAAAGGTGTGTGCAGAGGCTATGGATGACCACACTCTTCTATAACCTGCCAGGGCTACTTGCAAGGTGAACTTTGCACACTGCCAGTGGCCACACTTTCAATACATTCAACCCATATTGATAAAATACCAGTCAATGCAGAGTTAAAAAGTTTCCCTTCATGTGATTAAGTGATTGTGTGAGGATGGAGAAAAGAAGTTATAAAGGAAGGTCATCTTGTTGCACGTATGCTAGTAAAATGTGTGGAATGTAAATATTTGTGTTGTCAACAAATAAGTGTCTGACTCATTATAAGCACATTCATATTTAGCTAAAAACACCTGAGCCATTTCAAATCTTTCTGTTAATATCAAGTATATTGTCATAGGTGCTCTCTGCTATGCTGAACTGGGCACAAGTATCAAGAAATCTGGAGGGCACTACACATACATCCTGGAAGCCTTTGGCCCACTCCCTGCTTTCATCAGAGTCTGGGTAGAACTGCTTATTATACGGTGAGTAAACCTAACTGTTCTACTCCGTCTTGCTTCCAGTTTTTGTGAGCCTTTGGGCAAGATGCTCTCAGTGGCAGTGGCATCTACTGCTCCGCTTTCTCACTTCCACAGTCGAGAGAAAGAGAGGTTGCAAGGGTGAGAATGAAGAGCCAGGGCTATGGGTTTGTTTCAGTGGGACCTGCTGGAACATGGGTCCTGGCAAGTGCCTGACTTTACCTACGCACGGTGCTGATTCTGCTTCTACTGCCAGTGCTCTTTTGAAAGTCAAAGAACATTTCAAATATTCCCTGGGTAGCCATACTCGACTATATTCTGGTCCTTATTTTTTGCTTTTCCAGCCTGCTTTCAAGACTTAATGTTTTGACACAGTTGGGCATGCTTTGTAAAATTTAAAGAGCTCTAAAATACAGTAATAGATCAGCAACAGGGACACAATCTTATACATATTTAGATAGGGAAAAGTCCTACTGCTCCCTGTATTCCCAGTCCAGGAGACTGGCTAGAGAAAGGTAGAAGTTATAGGACTTTTTCCTGGTGTAAACATGCATAGTATTGCACCCTAAACCAATTAAAAGGACTGCAAAGAAGAAGATTTTAAGATGGTGAGTAAAACTCAGAACTATAGGAGCTTACTGGGTCACAGCTGAGAGCATATTCCAGAGGTTGGGTGTTTTGCACCATGATTTTCATGGAAGTTACCTGCATGTAATAATGTTCATATTTCAGCCAATAAGAACCTAAGAAGAGCCATGCTGGATCAGGCCAAGGATCCAAGTGTCCTGTTCAGTGTCAAGTGTTGTGCTTGTGCAAATCCCGCAAGCAGGAGATGAGTGCAATAACAACCTGCTCCCCATGTTTCCCAGCAAGTGGTGTTCAGATGCATACTGCCTCTGCTACTGGAGGCAGCATTGGCTATCAGGACTAGTTGCCATTGACAACCTCCTCCATTAATGTGTCTAGTAAAGCTGTCCAAGTTGGTGGCCATCACTAGTTTTTGTGGAAATTAATCCCATAGTTTAACTATGAGCTGTAGAAGGAAGCACATCCTTCTATCTGTCCCAAATCTCCCACCAACCAACTTCAAGGGATGATTCTTGGTTCTAGTATGATGGGAGAAGAAGAACAATACCTCTCTATCCATTTTCCCTACGCCATACATAATTTTGCACACCTCTATCATGTCTCCCTTTACTCAATCTTTTCCTAAGCCAAGAAGTCCCAAATATCATAAACTTCCCTCACAGGGAAGTTGCACCAGCCCCACAGTAATTTTATTTGCCCCTTCTGCACTTCTAACTCCACTGTATCTGTGTTTAGGTACGCAGTTGTGTACAGCATAGATTTGTATAATGTGACTATGATATTGGCAGTTAACTTTTTCATTCCCTTTCCTAATTATGTCTAACATGGGGTTTGACTTTTTCACAGCAGCTGCACACTGGGTTGCCAGTTTGATTGAACTGCCCTCCACAATGCCAAGATCTCTTTTTGGTCAATCAATGCTAGCTTAGATTGCATCAATTTATATTTGAAACTGGGCTCCGTCACCCGCATGTGCATCAATTTACATTTGCTTACATTGAACTGCATTTGCCATTTTGATGCCCATTCTCCTTATTTGAATAATTTTGGAGTGCCTCACAAGCCCAATTTGTTTTAACCATTCTAAACCACAAATGTGGCCAACTCACTGGTCACTCCTAATTTGAGGTTATTTCTGAACAAAATGAAAGCTTGGACCCAGTACAGAGTCCTGTGAGAGCTCACTATTGATATCCCTTCCCTATTTACATCCTGCCTGTTTTTCTTCAAGGAACTCAAGGCAGCCTATGGAATTCTCCTCCTCCTCCTCTTAATCTTTCTCACAACAACCCCGTGAGGTAGGTTAGGCTGGCAGTCACCCAGTGCGCTTTGTGACTGAATTGGGACTAGCACCTGGGTGTCTCAGGTGCCTGCTCAACACTCTAACCTTTACACTACCCTGGCTGTCAGTGCAATTGATAATTTACCTTTTCTTTCTGCTTTCTACTGATCCACAAAAGGACATCCCCTTTTATTCCATTACTGTTAAGTTTGCTCAGGAATACTTGATGAGGGCTTTGTCAATAGTCTTTTAGAAGTCAATGTCTACCATATGTCAATTTTGTCAATGTCTACTGTATCACCTGATAGAGCCAAAAGATGCACAGACCGACCCTCAGTTCACTTAACATTTGGTGTGGTAACCTGGTAGGAAGCTGCCACTCAATAGCAACAACAACAGCAACAAAAACTCAGATCCTAATGCATGTGAGTTCCATGCATGTACATTCAAGGACTGCAAAAAATATGTGGGTTTTGCTTAAGGTTGTATTTCTAGTTTAGATAGTCTTGTCATGGTGGTAACATCCCTGAATTAGAAACATAGAAACAAAGTGAGTCAGAAGGGGTATCCTGGGACTTCTAGTCTGACCCCTGATTGCAGCCAGCTTCACTCACAAATTGTTCCTCTGTGTCTTTAGGTAACAGGCACAGGTGGTCCTAGATCCATGATCTGCTCTCTCTGATATAAGAAAATGCCAGTAGAAATCTGAGCTATAACTTTCCAGTACATTATGTATGGCAGATTGTAAGAACCCTGTGAGTGGGTGATCATAAAGTTCTGGATAACAATCAAAAGCAATTGAAGGTGGAGAGGACTGCCAGGTGTGTTTGACCTGTTCCTTTGGGTCTTGATGCAAACCTAACTTATAGGTACCTTTTAGAAAATCTGAAAATCTGTGTTTGTTCATTTGCCCCAGTAGTCAGAAAACACTGCATTTCTGCCACCATTCTATTTTCTGAGTGTAAAAGAAATCTAGCAGGTTAAACTGGTTCAGGACTACTCTCACTGCCTTACTCGCCTGAGATATTCCATTCTTAGAGGCTCTTTGCTGCCTGTTTATGACACTGTAAAACTACTGTTTACATTGCTAGCCTGCTCGAATAGCAACTAACACTGGCTGCTTATGTGGATTACTCAGTGTGTGACTGCTCTTTTAAATATGTTCTGTGTCACAGCAAACAAGCATTGGGTGGCTGGCTAGCTAATCTGTTTATCTGTAGGTAGCTTCTTGATCTATTTGCCTACTTCTATGTCGAAAGAGTTTGTACTACTGAAAGTAATTCACTCCAGTGAAGTAAACATGCTGTTTTCATTTCCCCTTTCTTCTGAATAGGGTCAGCTCATTACAATTGACCTTATTGCTACATACATTTACGTAACGAGCTGCAGCATGCAAAAAGATTTAGTTTTAAAAAAACATGCTAAGTCACTATGAACTTGACATTCCCTGTATTATGTCACTCACCTCATAAGAATTAATCAGAAAACGCTTCTTTCCACCCACCACATCAAACAAATGAAGGCAAAATGCTTTTCAGTCATTAAAATGTGGTATGTGTTTTGGGAGACGTGCTTGCTCATGCTTGCAGTTATCAAGGACAGTTTCTCTGCCAAAATTTTGCATAGCTTTCTGATTTCCACCATAAATTAATTGCTGCGGCTCCAGGAAGTTTGATTCACCCTTACATTTCTATTTCCCCCCCAAGGTTGGGGTACACTCCCGTGGCTAATTAAATGTGAAGCTAATGTTCATAAGACAGTCCCAGAGTAGTTTTGTGAGACTGGGTCTGAGGCAGAGAGGTAGAGAAAGATGCATTTAACTCTTTCCTTGCCATTCCAAATTACTTTAAGAGCTTGCTTTCACCTTCATACCATAGTGACCACAGCTTTGAGCTCCTCAGACTTGTTTCACATGCTAGAATAGGAATAATCCCTATTCTTGGCAAGGGTGTGCTGAGCTCGGCCATGATCAGTTATTGATCAGCCAGGGATGACAAATCTCCAAACATCCAATCAAACCTGAACATAATCCATACACTTACTATGTTTGGTTGGGCTCTGTGTTTCTGCACACATCAGCGAACCGCTTCTTCATGGGCAATGAATAAGTCTTTCAGGAACCTGAGTGACCAAGGGAAATTTAGTGCAAGCTTTTCATTGTGTCCCTGATTCTTCTGTGCCAGAGAACAGGCTATTACCAGTCTGGTAGAGCTGGTTTAGGAACTAGCATTGGCTGTCATGAAAATGAAAACAGAAATAAAGTCTTTATTGATGCCGATGAACCTTTTTTTACATGAAGTGGAAAAGTGTGTGTTAGACCGGATTAAACACACACACACACACACACACACACACACACACACACACCAGCTACATGATTAGTGTAATGTGTCGTTTAGCTTGTAGTAGAGCGAAACACAGAGCTTGTAGTAAAGCTAAAGGTGATAAAGAAGGTTGGCTAGATTGAGGGGGCAAACCTCAGAGAAGCCAGCAGAGCTGTGTCCATCCTGATTTTTTTAAAGGTGTTTTTAGATGTTTTAGATGAGCTTGCTTGCTTGCTTTCCACTGTCTTTTGCAAAGTGTTCATGCTTTCTGTACATTTTTGTGAAGAATAAATTCCTTGCAGGACCTGAGATAAATTTCTTGGTTTCAAAAGGGTCTGGGGACTTTGACCCATACATGATGTAGAAATGAAGTTTATGAAAGTCTCAGTGCTGTGAACTAGGAAAAAACCCACAGAAGTACATCTATTGCAGCTACAGAAAGCTTGACAGAACAAGACAATTTGTCCTTTTTTGATTTCCTGTTTAAATGCATTTCTTATATTAAAAATATGTCTTTAAAAGAGAATACAATGTATGATTTTCTTCTTCATGGGAGGAGGAATTGCAATCATGCATGAGTATTGTTTTCTGATATTACCTCATTCATATGAATAGATAAGAACATGGAAATTAGCACTTGTAAGGGTTATCCGCCTGTAATGATGTTTGTATCTAGTTTCAGAGAAACAGGATGACACAGTGCTCTTTATGGGGTCCAGGATTAAAACATGCCTGGGGGCTAATGTCAGAAGTGATTCCTTTTGTGAGGTTTGGAAGGCAGCAACCAGGGAAGGGCTTTCTCAGCACTGACCCCACATCTACAGAATGACCTCCTTACTGAGGCCTTCTTGACAGCAGGTTGAGGTGGCCATTTATACTGAGGCTTTTAAAGATACACATGAGAATTCAAGAGCTTCAGGGGATAACCCATCTTGGGGGCTTTTCAGGGCTGCACTTTATCCTATGTTTCACCTGTTCTTGATTTTTTTTTTTTTTTTGCACGGTTGAAAAAAGTTATGGAATTTTATTGTTTTTATGAACTGTTGCAAACTGCCTAGAAAGGTTGACTGTCAGGTGGTGTAGACTTAAACAAGCAAACAACAATGACAATATCATACAGGGGGAAAAAACAGTGATTGCCTCCCTGACAAGGATAGTTCTCTTCCTATTAGTCCAAGCAGGGTATAACTCATGAGTACAGACAGAGCTTCTCTGTGAGCAGGTTTGTACTTCACTTCTGCAGGAGAAGCAACTTCTGTGTGTACAGACCCTGTAGCGGGAAAGCTTTGTACACAGATCAAAGTGTCACTGATGGAGAGTATATATCTCTTTTTGCAAAGCATATGCTTCAGTTTAGAATACAAATTCTGTTGCTATCTAATGAACTTAGCAATGATATACTAGCATTATAAATAGCATTATTCTATTGCTGTTTAGATGAAATCTGGGTTATATATTGGTGTGTCAAATATGATTAAGTTATTGCCAAAAAATAACTTTCCTGTTCTTCAGACCCAGAACCTGATCCTGGTTCATATTTTATATTATGGTCTGCCCACAGAACAACACTATGTTATGCAATATACCATCACACTATGGTAGTCACATGGAAACAGCCAAGAAAAGTTCTATTCTTTGATTCAGTGATCCCTTCACCTTTCCAGTGCATAACAAGTGAGACAAACGCTTAAAAGTCTATCAGTGAATGCATGATGGGCATTTTGCATTTCTTTCTGTGTTTTTGTTTTAATCAGTTATTATAATGGCTGCTTTGGTTTAAGCTATCAAGCTGCTTGAACATCTATTTTTGTCTGTGTTGATTAAGGCCAATGGGCAACTGGCATATAAAATAAATATTATGAATTTCATGTAGCGATATATCAATAGTCCCTTGTAAGGTGACTGGTCTTTCTTTCTTTCTTTCTCTTTCTCCTGCAGCCCAGCCGCCACAGCAGTAATATCCCTGGCATTTGGACGTTACATCTTGGAACCATTTTTTATGCAGTGTGAGATCCCAGTCCTTGCTGTTAAACTGGTTACAGCTGTAGGAATCAGTAAGTACCTGATTCTGGGAGAAAAGGAATGAGGCAAATGATAAACAGAAGCAAATCTGAATAAATTCTGTATTCAGTGTATTCACAATACATTTTATATGAGCTATTAAGCTTGAGGTTCATTTTAAAGCAAATTAAAATATAAACTCTCAACTCAATTGTTTTAAAAGTTTTTAAAAAATGAATTGTTCTTGAAGATAGCTCATGGTAACCATCCTGCACCCCTAAAATTATACAGTATAAGCATGTCTCTATGTGTGTGCATATGTGGGATCAAAGGAAGGGAGATGTGCAAGATAAAACAAAAAGCTTATAAGTGGTCAAAGTGTAACAGGGGACAATAACAAAGTTTGCTGGAGTTCTAGCAGCTGCAATAAATTTCTAGTACTACTGGATGATGCTCCTGCAGTGAAGTGCTAGTAGAGGACAGGTGAAAATTAATAAGTTTGGCATGGGCAAGGTAAGACACAAAAGTACAGCAAGAAGAAGTAATGATGGCTTGCCCATGGTAGGAAGCAGCAACAAGCAGAGCTGAGGAGATATGGTAAACTTGTTAGATAGGAACCTGTGATTTTTTTCTTGACTCAGAAGGTTTATCCCTCCATTTCCAAAGGTAGTTTCTTGCTGGATTAAAATACTTGTAGTTCCCTCTTCGGGGCAGTGGTGAGGATGGTGTAGGAAAAAAGGAATGGATGAGTATTTCTCATAATCTGGGAAGTAACCCACACACCACCTTTACAGTTTCTAGATGGACAGGAAAAAGGAAACCTATTGTTCTATGTTTGTAGTTCATGACCACCTGCACAGCTGCAGAGTCTGAAAATGTGTAGAATCCTAGATATTGTCCTATTATTCAAGCAGAATATAGAGAGAGGAGCTATAAGATGGATATATGTGCCCAGATTGGTGAAAAACTGGGAGGAGCTGAGCCCTTTGCTAGGCACTCCTTAGCCTCCTATCTACATTTGAAGAAGAGAGGGTGCCAGTTATCCTGACCTGATAAATTTACCATTTTGTGTTTAAAAAATCTTTAAAAGGAAATTCATGATCACCTTGTAGTGCCAACTGCCCTTGGTTAGTTGCACTATATTTTCAGGAGCTATGGGGATAAGATTTTTATGTTACTACTGTATGGAAATCTTAATACCATGACTTCAGCCAGTATCCTGCACATGGAGATGAACCACGTAAATAGTACACTGTAGACCCAGAACATTTTTGGTGACCTTTGATACCAGTGGTCATCAGTGGATCATATATGGGAGCTGAAAATGTTTCAATGTCTCCTCTAGATTTCACATATTTTCCCCTTTACAATTAAATTCTAGCCACCAGCCTCCTAGTAATTAGGTAAGTACTATGGTGGGATCAGATAGATTTGGTTACAGTCAGCTTTTTCTATCGGAGAATGAAATATTCATGGAGAGGACACGAACATTTGCCATTGATGTGGTTTGGCCTTATTATGGAAGCCAGTACAGGAAGTCTGTTACACAGATGCTCCAAAAGTAGCATCTGTTGTAACTTATACATCTTAAAAAACAATGGTGTGGATTCTTCCAAGGAACTCCCTCTCCCCTTGTAGCCTCTTGTCACAAGCCAATGCTGTCTTTATGGCATTATTGCAAGAAAGGATCAGAGAGAAAAAGCAAATAGGATTTTTAGGACTATTCCTCAAGTGTGCAACTTTGGAAATAATATTTAGCCTTGCAACTGATCAATGCCTAATGTCAATGCGAAGAGTCAGGAAAAATAATCCAGAAATTCCACTTTTGAGCTTCTGCACATATGGAAGAGATGTTCCAGAAGTAGTAAAAATGTGTGCATCTTAGAAAGAAAAGACTTTCTCTAACCTCTCTGTTAGAAAGGAAGAGTAAGACAAGGTATAAGAAGGAAGTCAAAAAGATATGAAGTCATGCAAGGCAGTTCTAGCTACGCAGGAAAATACTCATCTCACATATTCCTTCATTGGATTGTCCTTGAACTTCCAGTTCCACAAACAAACTTGTGAGTGTGCATTTCTGTCAAGCAGAATTGATACCTCACCAAATTTATTTCTCTCTTAATTATGTTAAAACCCAAAGCTCTAAATGGATAATTGAATTAAGGTTATGAGTTGTAGAGGTTAATGCATAAAATATTTCATGGAAAGCTCATAGTAAAACAGATGTTTCAAAACTGCAAAGGTTCCTGAGGCAGAATTGGTGGTGCGGTGCTGGCGGGAGGAAATTTCATTATAAATATTTTTGTAAGTGTCTTTAATTTGACCACAGTCAGTGCATAATTTGGAATAGGATTTCAACATGATTAATTTAATTGGAAAATCTTTGAGATAAGCTGGGATTTTATACAGTAATTAAAAAGGGAGAATTGGTATGGCAGGGTGGTAGAGTTCTCCTGAAATAATGACACCTGCAAAGGGAGATAGGAGTTGACAGCAAATTGTTGTCATGGGAACGAAAGAGAGGCTGCACCCAAGCAAGTCGGATGAGTTGCTGCTTCAGTGAAACTAGAGTATCCTTTAGGAAGCCTGTTGAGTGCAAGTCATTCTGCTGTCAGGAAAGACACTGAAAGACATGCCAGAAGGAATAATTATAGCACAATGAGCTGGGATTGCACAAGTATGAGGCATGCTAAAAGCTGCGTGGAAGCCCATTTGCCCCGGAGAACAAAAACATCACTGCCTCTTAAGGTAGTATGTCAATTCTGCACTGAACATACAGGTAAGAGCCACCATGCAAGGCCCCTGGGAGAAAATGCTGTTACATCTAATGAACCAGGATGAAGAGCGTTCTCTATGGATCACTTCCTAAACTAGGGTAATAGTCTGAGAATAGGAATAAACAGAAGAGCCATTAAGTTAAACAGTAGCAATGAGATGCATGCTGTGCTGCTCCTTAGCTACTCAGGGCCTTAATCTCCACAAGAATTGCAAACTACTTGGGTAATATGTGAAAACTCTGAAGAAAAAAATTGCCCCCTTCTGTGCTGAGTGCTCTAGCATTTGGTTTATATCATATTCTCATTATCTTTAACAACAGTAGCCTTCTTCTCCAGCATAGCAACAACCAAGCATAAATTACTGACAGGAGTAATTCTTATTCTGATCATATAATGTTAATATCATCTTGGTCTCTGTCGGTCTCTCTCTCACACAGACAACTATCTTTATAAATGAATGACTCCTAAATATAAGTTTTACAGCTTTATTGCTAAATCTGTAATTATTTCAGCAGGCAAAGAGAAGAATATCAAGTGTAATCAAAAGTTGTGGCAGGAGGAGGGTAGTAGAGATTCTAGGGAGACAGAGGAAGTGATGTGCCAAGTTTGTTCTGCACATACCCCAACCTTTTTTTGTGCAACAATGGGACAAGAGAAGATAAGTCATGAGCGTGGTCATAGTATCCAGTTACTTTGAAAAATGTGTACATCACTCACCATGGTAGATACAGTTCATTTAAAGGTTGGGAAAGACCTGTGTAGCCACTTATTTATTTATTCATGCATACAAACAAACACACATACTATTTATATCTGGTCACCTTTAGAAAAAAATGCCCCAAGGGTAGCTTTATAGTCACTTAAAAGGTAACTAACACAATGGATCAGTAAAGGAACAAATCGATCAAACAACTAGAAATGAAAGAGGGTCAGGGTAAAACACAGTGGCAGAAACAAGGGCAAGTCAAACTAATTAAACTGCATTGAAAATGTTCTGGGAATTTTTAAAAGAGGCTTTGCTAGACCAGGAAAACAATGGGAGTGAAACCCCTGGGATGAGAATACCACATGTTGGGGCACCACAGCTGAAAAGGCCTCATCAGCCTCCAAGTTCAGAAGGCAAGCCACCCGGAAAAGGGCCTCTGGTGAAAAACATAATGTGCTGGTTTAGTACATTTGGGAAAAAACTGTCCTTTGGGTATCCACAGACAAAGGTATCATGTATGTAGGTGAGCCCCAAATTACTGAGTTGTGCTTAGAAACAGTGGGCAGCTTGTTTCAAATTGGTATGAGATGTCCCAGTCTAGTAGCACCAGGGCAGGTCCCATGGAGCACTAATTTGATACTTTGGTTTTGAGTAGCAGCAATCTGAACCAATCAGGCATGTGTTGAGCAGTGACACAGCCAATGGCAAATGGGCAGTCTCTCCCAGTCTCTGGGAGTGCTCCTCGATCCAGAGCTTTCGTTGGAAGCTCAGGTGACAGCAGTGGCGAGGAGCGCTTTCCTTCAGCTTCGGCTGATCCATCAGCTGCACCCCTACCTGGAGTATGACTGCCTGGCGACAGTGACACACGCCTTGACTTCTGTAACGCGCTCTACGTGGGGCTACCCTTGAAGATGGTCCGGATACTTCAATTGGTTCAAAATAGAGCTGCCAGGCTGCTGACGGGGACTGGGCGTTATGTTCACATGACTCCAGTCCTCCGTCAGCTTCACTGGCTTCCCATTGAAGTCCGGGCCCAATTCAAGGTGTTGGTGATGACCTATAAAGCCCTAAACGGCTTGGGTCCTGGTTACCTGAAGGCGCTTACATCCATATACGCCCGCCCGCCGCTTGAGATCTGTGGGAGAGGCCCTTCTCCGGGAACCCTCCGTGAAAGAAATTAGGAGGGTAGGTACTCGGAGGAGGGCTTTCTCTGTGGTGGCGCCCAATCTATGGAATGCGCTCCCCAGAGAGGTCCACCTGGCGCCGTCGTTATTTGTTTTTCGGCGCCAGGCGAATAACTTTTTATTTAAATGTCATTTTAATTGTTAATATTATTTGCTTATTTTATCTGGCCAGGGCGACTTATTTTATATTGTTAATTTGTTTTATATTTTGAATGTATTATATTTTAATTTATGTTGTGAGCCGCCCCGAGGCTTCGGCGAATGGGGCGGCATAGAAATGTTTTAAATAAATAAATAAATAAATATATTGCACTATTACCCTTGGCTGCCTGCTAAAAGCAGGGCCTATTTGGTTTACATCACTGCTATTCAAACTAGGTTGTAAAAGAGAGTTATTTTAAAATGGTATGTGGCTGGGCTTGCTTTGCCTGCAATTTCATGTGCAGCTGCTGGCAGGTCTGTGGCTGGGGTCAGCCAAGGAGGATGGAGACTGAGAGGACCCAGCACTACAGTGTCAGAGGGTCATATGAGAACCCTGAGACTCCTGGAACACTGGACCTACACCCTGAGGTCTGGACCTTATTGCACCCGAACCTCATTGCCTATGGCACACAGAGAAATGCAAACAGGAAGACATAAACATGGCACGCAAGGAATACTCACACTCTGTTAGCACAGTTTTATATGTGCCATGTATAAGATCTGAATTCATCCCATCAGGAACCTGATTTGTTAGCTCCTCCTGCTCTTTGAAATGTGTCTGCAGATGTAACAAAATCTGGTTTATTTGTGATAGTGAATGTCTGGATTTAGTGTTTATAACAGATAAAATGGTGAATTTCTAAGTCATAGGAAAGTGTAATTTCTTTGGAACTGATATACCTGTATTTATAAATGGGAATATTTATTAGACATTGGTAAGCAGACTCCTTATCTGTCTATCTCATAAACTCTGCATGGATTTTTATTCTGCTCTGTGTCAGTGTTGGGAGCTGATAGAAAATGAATACCACTTCTATTTCTGTCATATTCCATATGAGATTGGACTAAGATGTGTAACCCAACTCATTTTTCTACCATATTGATTTTATATCCCATCCATCCTTCTTATTTCTGATAGCTGTACTAAATGTAATTATCTGCAGTGCCTTTTTTTTTTAGCATGACGCTTCCCAACTCAGCCTTTGGGCTTTAGTTTAAAAGGCTGCCATTAGAGTTAGAAGGCTTGTGCAAAACTGTCTCAGTGGTTGACTGCACAGCTGCAGTTACAAAAGAGAACCTGTGTAATGTATATTAAATCACACCTTTATCCTTTCCTACCTCTTCATGTCAAACTACAAAGCCACAGGGGAAAAAACCATAAGAGCAGAGCGGGGGTGGTGAGCAGTTTTCCAACTGGTCTGAACATGGTAGAACTTGGAATCAGACGCAGTTATAATACTGATAAATTGTGCTCATACAGGTGTTGGGTTTTTCTATATAATAAGAATTATTCAGTTAGGACAGGTGATTTATGATTAATTCCTTGAATTGCTCAGAAAGAAGGCTACACGATGCTGGGCAAACTTTTGCCATTCGCTTCGCTTCTTACTGACTATTATCAGGAAATCTAGCATGCGTTTCTGGAGGACAGATCACTGTATTATCAAAAAACATGCTACTAGTAAGTTTTCACACAAGAAAGGATGCTCAGTCAGGCTAGTGATTTGTGAGTTGCGTAATAGTGATCATACTTAAATGTTTACTTTAAAAGATAAAAGTGTTTGGACAGAATGCTACCACTTAAAATCAGTGATTCCATCTCTCTTCCCTAATGGATTTTTCCAGAAAGGGGGGAAATACTCAAGAAATGGTGGGAAAGCATGAAAGGTTTGGGTTATAAGTGAAAAGAAGCATTGATTGGATCCCTTGTCAAATTTCATGAATGAGGGCAATTGCACCATAAAAGCCGCTGATGGAAGCAACCCAAACTGGATTTTGCTGCTTTGAATACATTTTGCTATGGCTTCTTGTCAGTCTATATATCATCCTGTAGTTCTTCTGAACAACAACAAGAAAACTCAAACGTGTTGCTAACAAATGGCATAGTTTAATTTTCTTTTCCTCAGCAAACCAACTCTGACCTGCCCAGTGCCAGATGCTGCCTCCTAATATCATTCACAGAGGGTACCCGGAGAAGGGCATCTGTTGCTGATCTCAACAGGTGGGAGGGTTCCTTTAGATACGCAGGGCCCAAGCCGTTGAGGGCTTTATAGGTCATAACCAACACCTTGAATTGGGCCCGGACTTCAATCAGGAGCCAGTGGAGCTGACGGAGAACTGGGGTTATATGAGAACAACACCCAGTCCCCGTCAGCAGCCTGGCAGCTCTATTCTGCACCAATTGAAGTATCCGGACTGTCTTCAAGGGTAGCCCCACGTAGAGCGCGTTCCAGAAATCTAATCGGGAAGTTACCAACGCGTGTGTCACTGTTGCCAGGCAATCATTCTCCAGGAAGGGACACAGCTGATGGATCAGCCGAAGCTGAAGGAAAGCGCTCCTTGCCACTGCCGTCACTTGGGCTTCTAAAGACAGTTCAGGGTCGAGGCGCACTCCTAAGCTGCGAACCCTGTCCCTCAGAGGGAGTGCAACCCCATTTAGGACAAGGCCCAAGTCCCCCATCCCGAGTCCTGAACCACCCACCAACAGGACCTCCGTCTTGTCTGGATTGAGCTTCAGTTTATTGGCCCTCATCCAGCCCATTACCTCGGCCAGGCACCAGTTCAGCACAGCCACTGCCTCACC